TGGCTTGCTGAATTACCCTTCTTCTGTTTCGGTGTTTGGCTAGTATTCCACTCATCTCCACTTGGCTGAAGACTGCATGAAGCACTACCAAGGCACTGTGGACAAACTCTGCAGAGTTGAGCAGGTAAGTCCATTTGTGCTAGAAGCACTGAGTTGTGTGTTTGTGTGTGCCTAAAACGGGAGAGTTTGCAAATTGTGCTGATGAAAGGATGTTTGAACAAGCATTTTCGTATGGGTTTTTTTTTTTCCTCCCCTGTGTTGTAAGTCTTCCCAGAATTTGGCAGGCCTTTCAAGAAGTCAACGAAACAGCTGGCTATCTTGCTGACAGTGGCATTTCTCTACTTCCTTTAACAAAGCAGTGCATTCTTGCAGGCTTACCTTGACTTGGTTGACTGATTTTAATGGCCCACATACACCCCCCACCCCCCCCAAGTGCAATGCCTGTATTATCTTCCAAAGAAGCAGCACCCTGGAGGCTGAGCCTTTTTGCCCACATTTGATCCCAGTATGAGCTGGGAAGAGAAGAACTTTCCAATGGACAAGAGGTAGATAAGTGCAGAGAGATGTTCTCTCTTACCAGGATCTGGCCATGGGCACTGATGCAGAAGGGGAGAAGATCAAGGATCCCATGCGTGCTATTGTCCCAATCCTGCTTGATGCCAACGTCAGCACCTATGACAAGATCCGGATCATCTTGCTGTACATCTTTCTCAAGAATGGTAGGAGCGGCTGTTGTTTGGGTTGGAATCCAGGTGGGAGATGTGAGGACATGTGGCACACCGGAGAGAAAGTGATGTCATTGCACAATGCTGAAAACTCTTCCTAACTCTAGTCTTGGCTTCCATTGGTCACTGGGAAATTGGAGACAATTATAAAAAAGGAGAAGGACTGGCAATTGGCATCTAGGGAAGAATTGAGTGCCACGGGAAATGAATGGGAGGATGGAAGCAACGGGCCAAGGAGAACAGAAGAATGAAAGGATGGAGGGCTATGGGGCAATGAAGTGGTTGTAAGAAAAGGCAAGCAGTGTCACTTTATAGAGGCTCGGAAACACTTCTTGTGGCTTTTCTCCTTACCCTCACTTCCTTATTTTTCACCTAAGGTTAAAGGTATGGCCTTTCTTTTTTCAGCGAAGGTTCAATCTCTACCTTCCACAGCCTAATGGGTACTTGATATTTTGAATATTGTGCATGATGGATGAGTTTAGAGGAAGATAAAAAAGAGGGGAAAAAATCAAGCAGAGATAGGTAGAACTTTCCTATCCTTCGATGGCATTTCTTTTTCACACGAGCCCGTTTGCAGGGATGTTTCTTCGCAAGCTTTTCAAATTCCCAAACTTAAGTTGTTACACCGCACCCAACTGAAAAGGATGTTAAAGCTAAGTGTGATTCAGCAGTGTGCCAAATGGAAGCACTGTTAAATACATTAACATGAAGGCAACCGGGTTGAGGTTCCAGTGTAACCAAGCGGGAGCTCTCTCCTTCTCTTCTTCCCTTCAAAATGGCCCACACTTCTGTGGTTTGTTGGTGTGTGTGTGTGTGCTGGCTCCGTCTCCTGGAACATGTATGTATGCTCTCCCCATCCCCCAGGGATCACTGAGGAAAACCTGAACAAGCTGATCCAGCATGCTCAGATCCCACCTGAGGACAGTGAAATCATCACTAATATGGCACACCTTGGGGTACCCATCATCACAGATGTAAGTTCTTCTCTGATCTAGATCCTTTCAAAAGTCCTGGGTAGGCGAACATGTCTATTTTGCTGGAATTGGTTGATCCAAGTTATGCTTGGACAGCTTGCTCCCAACGGTGGAAGGAATCCAGCAGAACCGGATTGACCATGTGGCAGACCAAAGAAATTGCCTTGGGCAGCAGTTACAGGCCTGGGAGAGACAATTTATTGCTTGGCACTTTCTTCTCAACTCCCCAGGCTTTCCCTTGTGTCTGACCGCAGTGTCAGATAACTCTTGCTAGGACGCTCATCCTAGCCTGTTGCTTTAGGGGTTGTTGAAGGAAAATTCAACTGTCAACTTGAATGGAACAGAGAGGGGTCCCACCTAGTCCTTGGTCAACAAAGTATCTTCAGTTAAGTCTGGAATTTAACAATATTATGCAATGGTAGTAGATAAACTTCCAGGGCAGTTGGTACATTTGGTATTTTGAGAGCATGGTGTGGATATTCTCCTGAGGTAGGTTGCCTTTGGGGCTTACGCTTCCATAAAAAATCTATCCTGTCATGGAATTACCTGTTTAGCAAATGGCTGGCTGTCGCAGATGAGAGAGGGGAGCACGGTAGATTGAGAAAAGTGCACGTAAAGAATGGTAGATTGAGAAGAGTTCACAAAGAATAATGGGGAAGCTAGGGGCTGTGGGTTGGTATCTTCTCGTTTTTGAGAAATTCAGCTCCCAGTATCGCCAATCTTGCACGGAAGCTTTAGTTCCAAAAATCTAGAAGGCTCCAGCTTGCTCTTGCAAGTGAATAAGCACAGCCAATATTCTCTGAATCCATTTTCTCTCTCTTGTGCCCAGTCCACCTTACGCCGTAGAAGCAAACCAGAACGGAAGGAACGTATCAGTGAACAGACTTACCAGCTCTCCCGATGGACTCCAGTGGTCAAGGACATCATGGAGGTACGCAATGAGGGACAGCTCTTGAGTGCACGAACCTCTTTGTTTTATGTCTAATACTAGCAGAAGCTCCAGATGTGCTAATAATTTTTTTTTCCAGGATGCTGTTGAGGATAAATTGGACACCAAACACTACCCGTACATCTCTACCCGATCAGCTGCGTCTTTCAGCACTACAGCGGTCAGGTAGGAAGGGGGCATGCCTGTCTGGTATCTGATCTAGGGAAAATAAAGGGAAGTGTAAACTCATCAGTTGGGGAACAGGATGTTCTGGGGAACTCCGGAGCATGGTGTCCTTCTCTGGACCATGTTGAACCTTCTAGACCTTCTAGGGGTTCCTAAACATTTTGCATCACGCCTCCCTTTAGGGTAATCTTAATGTATACACCTCTCCTAAAAACCAAAACACCAAAATCTACACAAATGAACCATGAAAATATTTCTTTATTTCTTTATTGTTAAATTTGTATGCCACCCATCTCCCCCAATGAAACTTTGCAAAAGGTGAATTGACTATAACAATGTAACCAAAAGGTTCTTCACACCTCCCTGGACTCTGTCTGTACCTCCCCAAGGGAGATCCACCTCACAGTTCGGGAAATGCTGTTTTAGATTCTGCCTTTTCAAGGTTGCTCTGGAGGTATCCAGAAACAATTCCTCCAAACCAGAAGCCTGTTGAATCTGAAACATTGTAAGTTACCCTGTCAGACCTCCCTGTTTGCAGTCTCGATTAGAAGTATGTAGTTAAATCCAAGGAGACAAATCTGAAGACTTTGATCAGTAATATTTATTAGACAAATGGTTACAAGAACTCCACCCAGTATTGTTCTTTCAAATGAGATGCCTATATATAGGCAATCTATGAAGGCAAGACCTTTTCTCTTGCTTTTTTTTAACATAGAGTGGAAGGAGCTTTGCCTCTTTTAAGAAGACAGGGCAGTCTCCATCTAGTCATTGTTCTGATAACTACTCTTTTCTTGATCAATATGAGAAACAGCTCTCACAAACACCATGTCCAGGGCACCTTGAACTTCTCCCAGTTCCCAGAAGGTGAGTGGAATCTTCCAGAGTTGGGTGGAACATTCTGTCCATGACCTTTGCCCATCCCAATCTAAATTGTGTATAAATAGATACTTAACTCTTTTTGGAAGTTAAGTATCATATGTAGCATACCATTGAATATTGTAATTTATATATGGTACTTAACTTTTCAGAAGAAAAGAAGATTGGCAAATGAGCAGAAGCTTGAGGTTGGAGATGATAGTATTGGTAGATCTTGTGTATGTTAGCAGTCTAAAGGAACTGGTGATTTGTGCCAAGCCATCCATTGATAGTTCTTGTAACAAGAACTGGAGATGGACAACATTTAATGAATGGAAATGAACCAGATTTCCAGAAGGCATCATTATTTTTCTTTTCTTTTCTTGTCCTTTCCTTTCCTTTTTTCCTTTCCATCCCCACCCCTGATCTTCAGTGCCCGCTACGGACACTGGCACAAGAACAAGGCTCCTGGGGAATACCGAAGTGGTCCTCGCCTCATTGTTTTCATCCTGGGGGGTGTTGCTCTGAATGAGATGCGCTGTGCCTATGAGGTGACGCAAGCCAGTGGGAAGTGGGAGGTGATGATAGGTAAGTCCTTTTCTTGCTGAGTTTTTGCCTCAACTCATGCTTGCTCTGCTCTATCTTCCGCCACCTCCATCTGGCTCCTCACCTCCCCCTCAACTTTGGTGCTGCCCGTCCCAAAACCCAACACTCCGAAAAGCTCCCCATGGGAAATGTGCTTGCGTCCACTGCCTTCTCCCCATCCACTCCCACAGCCCTGACCGGAACACTGAGGACAATGCAGTCCTCATGAATCAGCAGGAAAGCTCAAACGGTGTTCACGCAGCATGCTTCACTAGCTTGGTTGAAGACCCAATGGCTCTATTCGCGCTACAGATAATACTTGGGTAGAGTTAACATTGTCCAGTTCCTTCCTGCTCCAGTTTAAAGATGTGAAGATAGCTAATATCATGCATGATTGTTTGGAGAGAAGGCGGGCATGAAATAGGTGACAAGGGTTGGGAGTGGCCTGAAAAACAACTAATTAAGGGCTTATATCAGCCTCCAACACCACACTTTGGCCACTCCCATGAACACCTTTCCTTGAGCCACTTTCCTCCTGCTCCTCCATTTTTTCCCTTGAATGTTTCCCATACTAGGAAGGTGGCTTTCCCAAAACTCACTTTCTTGGCTTCTTCCTCCATCCTGTCTTCCTAGTTGTGTCATCTCACCCTTCTGTGTGTTCAAAGGTGTGCGTGGTATGTGTCTGGCTATGTTTTATTGTCGCTTCTAATGTTGAACGTTGCTGTTTTTGCAATAGTGAATATGGGCGTCTTTCCCTGTTTGTACAAGACTTGCATTCTCTCGACTTCTTTTTGAATTGCAAAAATTGCCCAAGCAACTTCCTTAGTTTAGCAAGCCCTAGTTTTGAGTTTTACCTTTTTTTGTTTTAAATTTAAGGTTAGAGGTTCCTAAAGTTGGGCCACCTGGATAGTCCCACTGGGTACAAACCAGAAGGTCCGTAGCCTGGAGGGCCCACACATTCAGCCCTGTATTTATCTTTAGTTCCTAGGAAAACCTGAGAAGGTCCTGTCCTCCTCTCTTCCCTCCCTCTCAGTGCATAATCTGTCATGGGTGACAAAAACTAGACTTATTGAAAGAAGAATAACATGAACAGAGCACATTTTTGAACTGGGGTGGGAGTGGGGAATCCGAAAGTGACCACAAACTATTCCTAAGAGAAGAAACTGGGATGACACCCCAAAGCCTCTTGGATGTGGTCAGTTTTTCCAAACATATTAAAGAGGAGGGAGCCACTGGATTGTTAAGGAAAGGAGTTTCAAAGATCAGACGCTGCGTCTGCATGGTTGGTTTTTCAAAATAAATACTAAGGGAGGGAGTTCAAGGGACTAACTCACTTTGGGTAGAGGCTAGGAATCCCCTTGCATGGTTGAAACGTGGCAACAACCCTGTCTTTTTTAAAAAAAAAAAAATATTGGGGTGGGAGTCCCAGGGATTAAGCAGTTAAGCACATAGTTTAAATACATATACCAAGGTGGTGGCCTCATTGCTGTCTTGATGCTCCCTGTAGATTCAACTCTGGCAGAGGCAAACTATGTTCTTAATCGGCTGCCAGTTCTATTTCAGTACCCCAGTGGGATTTTTCCTCTCCCACACTGCCATCTTTGCTATATCTCTCTGGGTGTGCACATGTGTGACTGCCTTTCTCTTGCCATTCCTGCTTCATGTATCATCACAGGCTTCCATAGCGGTGATTTCTGGTGATGTGAACTATATTGCAAGGCTTTTTTTAAAGAGAAGAACAAAAAATTTTGGCATGTTTCTTTCTTTCTTTCTTTCTTTCTTTCTTTCTTTCTTTCTTTCTTTCTTTCTTTCTTTCTTTCTTTCTTTCTTTCTCTCTCTCTCTCTCTCTCTCT